AATACAAATAATAATGACTGCTTCCACATCTTGACTAATCATTTTAAACATTTCTCCCTTCTCTGACCTGTTTCCATTGTCTAATTTTCAAAATATCTACTCTTGCCCCTAACTCTCTTCCAAAAAATCTTACTGCTACTCCAGTTCCTTTTTAAATTCCTTAAAATTCACTCGCCTCAGCTTGTTTCATCAGTCATTATTATTTGTATTGTTATCTCCCTCTTGTCATTTTGTTTTATTTGTTGGTTTATCTGTTCTGTTTTTCATCTACTCTTTCAATTGGATCCTCCTCTTCCTAGGCGTCTTGGTCACTCCTTGTCCTTTGTAACATGTTTTCCAGTTCTTCATCTATGCATTTTATTCATAATCTCCTTCATAATCTAGTTTCTTGTCAAAATATCCTTAATACTTTGACTTATTGACACTGTTTCTTCCCAAATTCCACTCATTTCTTGCTGGTGGAGCATCTTGTTTAGTTTTATTTTGTCCCTCTTTTGTCCAACAATCCAAAAACCATATATTCAATTGCCTAAGACAGTGACGGCTAACATTTTTGTTGCCGCATGCCGAAAATGCATGTGCATGCACCCATAATGCAATGTGCACATGACCCCCCCAAGTATGCGCATGCATCTCTTTTAAAGCCTCTGGAAATGGAAAGAAACCCCCCCCACCACCACCAAATGCTACTCTTTAGTTTCTTCTTGCTTTTGTGGTAGTAGGTTACCTACTTTGCAAGATCAGATAGAATTAGTCTCAGTTGTTTTTCCCCTGCTAGGAATGGCTAGCTGTTGTCAACTTGTTTTTTATTTCAGTCAAAATGTGAATCTATGTGGACTATGTATTTTGATCTGGTGCTAATTCTGGAGTCTTAAGCAAAGTAAATAGTGCTTGCCTTTCTTGGCCTGCAGTTCCTAGAAAAATGCTGCCTTGGGCTACTCTCCAGGGGTCTGATAGTGTTACCAATGCTGGCAAAGATTCCTGGCTTTCAGGAATATATTTGCTGCTAGCTTAATGCATGCATTCAAATTAATTTTGAAAGTAAGATAATGAAGGCATTTTCAGTGATTTTGCTATTTATATCTAAAATATTGAGCTTCTTTTAAATTCAAAACATTTATAGAATTGCCAAACACAAATGAAAAAAATATAGAACTATCAGAAATATTTATATTCCTAATAAATTTTAATATGTAAAGTTCTTTATGTATTGCAAACAGGCTCAGAAATTATAGAGTAAAATTAGGGCTACTCAAAGATCATGGTCTAATCAAACTTCAGAAAAGTTTGACAGTTTCAAAATTATGTTATTTTTAAAAGTACTTTTATTAAACATTTTATATTTATTTATTTAGTATGGCAAAAATGTTTAAAACATTTTAGAAAAGGTGTACTATGATTGTATTATTTCTTTATTGTTGAATACCAGTTCCATACATTCCAATAAAAACATTTTCTCTCTCTCTGCAGAACCTTATAGTTACTTTGATTGTACTGTTTAAGCCTCATAATATAGGCTGAATTTAATTATTTTCACTTCAGATAATGTAGCCCAAGTACACAGTGTGGACTGTGGATGTTGAGATGATTATGCTCATTATACCTATTTACATAGAAAAAAATTCCAGAACATTTTCTGATGCTACATTTTCTGGAAATTGCACACTTCTGGAAAAACAATATCTAAGGTGAAAAGTTCAGATGGCTGCAAGATTGCAGCAAATATAATTAATATCTATATTTCTGCCATCCAGAGATAGACAACTGAAATGATTTGGAAAAGTATTGATTCTGAAAAGCTTAGTATGGTTTTTCTGTTAATCCGTCTGTATTGTGAGATGGCTAAAATGAAGTATTAAATTTGCTGACATTGTATTGAAAGCTGTTCGACATTGCCACCTTGTTCATAGTTTCAAATACAGCACAAGGGTGAACCAGTTTTACTCATACTAAAGAGCTTGCTATTTGGTTCACCATTCACAAAAGTTTGTAACTGCATGTTTATAACATAGAAATTTATCTTATTTGTATAAATGTTTCCGTAAAAGAGAGGAAGAAATACAGAAACTGCATTATCCTCCCCTTGTCTTAAATTCTGGTTTCATTTGACATATATTAATGGAGCTTCAATAAAGCCAAGAATAAATGCAACAGTGCCAAAGTCTGAGGGAGGATATCTTCCTTCCATAGAGCACCTTAATTGGATGCAATTTTATTAAGATAGGGGATGGATCAGTAGTTGGTTTTTGCCTTCCAATTGACAGTCTGCGGTCTTTGCCTCTAATAACATTTTTTTCTGTCTTAATGCCCTTGCTTGAAACAAGTTCTCTCAGTGAACTTATAATATGAAATGAGGTGGTTACCTAAGCACATGACTTTCTTGGCATTAGTTTATTTTATTAAAATTGAGATAAGTTATGATGCATTACAGATAATAGTTAAATTCTTACAAACAGTGACAATGTTTCAGTTTGCTCTTGTCTAGATTTTAATGCTGGATGTTCTTTCTCTCTTTTACCTTCTAACTTTTCTCTTCTCTTTAGTGTTTGGTCTATAAGAACACTCCTCATCTTCTTTTTTTCAAAAAGAACAGAAAGAAATAGTGAGTATCTTATTTTTCTTTTTTCTTTTCTAGATTATGTAAGAATAAGCATGGTATTAATAGAGTGACATTGTATACAGATAGTCCACATTTAATAAACCTAATTGAGATCAACAAAACTGCCCCAATGGTTGCTAAGTGGAAAATGGTGTGACTATGATTGTACTTTCTGGCTGGAAAGAGACAAGACTACTCAGTTAAACACCTTCAGTGTTTGTTTGCCCCCTAACTACTACTCCACCCTTTGGATGCTCAAGTGCCTGCTAAGTCCACATCAAAAGCAGTGCAGTTGTGCCATCTTCCTGGGGCTGGAAGCCATGGGCATGCTACACAAACAGCTATTCTCTTGAAACCTCTTCCTCTCCCATCTCTTTGCTCTGGGGAGTTGGGAGAGGGGGAAAAAGCAAGCAATATCTGTAAAAAAATATCTCCTTTACCTGACCTTTCTCACTGCTGTTGTGAACTCATTGCTTTTGATGTGTGAAAGAGCAAATTACTGTCATGAAATCCCTTTCTCTCCAGTATCTCTGCTGCGCTGTAAAGTTAAATAAATAATGGAAAAATATACGGTCTTGTTTCACTCCTTTGTGAACCTGAAGATACTCTGTTTTGCCGTATTCTGGATTATGGTTTACTGACCAATGAATAGATTTTGCATGAAGACAATGAGATTTTCTAGGATTTCCATTTTTGTAAGCAAATTCCATAACTTGATGCAATTGATACAATCAAAGACCTTTCTATAATCTATGAAGCATATGTTGACCTCTTTTGAGTATTCTTTGGCTTTGTCAATTATCCAGCATGCATCAGCAGTAATGTCTCATTCTCCCCAACCTTTTCAAAAATCAGTTTGAATATCTGGCATCTCTCTTCCCTTGTCAAGCTCTAATATGCTTTGAATAATCCTATTCATTATTTTGCTAGTATCTGAAATTGAAGATATTATATGATAGTTTGCATATTTTGTTAAGTTTCTTTTCTTTACTATTGGAATAGATTGACCTCATCCAATTTGATTGGCAACTATATTGTTCTCCAGATTTGTTGTCATAGTTTGGTTACAATCTTTATTGATTTTTCTGTTGTTTGCCATATTTCTATAGCACCTCAATTCTTTTAACCTTCCAATTTGGTTATGACTAGAGGGCTGATTTGGTTTTGTGGACAGATGTCTTTGATTTTTAGATTTCTATTGTAGACAATTTCAGCATTTCCCATCTGAAATGTAAAGAATTTTTGGAAAACTTTTCTTGTTTTTCCATTTCTCTTTCCATCTTTACTGCCTTTATAGATATTGTTATAATACTGTTTCTTGTCTCTTCTAACAGTTTTTTTGAAAGTGTCCAATCATACTTGGCCAATAAAGAATTCTGTTCTATTCTAAGTTCCTTCCTGAAATCTTTGGCTTCATGTCTTCTTGGCAATTTCCACTGTTTGTTCTGATATCCAGTGTACTTTCTTTTGTTTTTTTAAAAAAATCTTTGGCAATCTCTTTTTACATTCATTTTTAATGACTTTTTAAATTCATTCCAGAGTTTCTCTGGTTCCCGATGAATGAGGTTTAAACTTCAAAGTGATTGTTGATGTTCTCCTTGAAAATGTTGGGTATATTGGGAGTCCTCCTGGATCCACAGCTATCCTTTGACCACCACCTGACGGCTGTGACCAGGGGGGCATTTGCCCAGGTTCGCCTGGTGCGCCAGTTGCGACCCTACCTGAATCGGGAGGCTCTCACAACAGTCACTCGGGCCCTTGTGACCTCAGATACTGACTTAATGTCACAAAACCAATCAATCAATTTGTTGTTTGAGGAATGTGTTGTCAATGATA